GTTGAAACTGATCAGTTTCAGCAGCGGCTGAATCTGGACGCCAGTTCCGACTTACATACAGATTCAACTTAAGAACAAACCTACAGTCCCTATCTTGTACGTAACCCAGGGACTGCCTGTACATCTCCATGGAGTGTGTCCACATGCCCTTCACACTGTTCTGAGCTCTTGAAGAGCCTGTGGAATACATGACACTAACCCAGTGGTCTGATCAGTTTCAGCAGCGGCTGAATCTGGACGCCAGTTCCGACTTACATACAGATTCAACTTAAGAACAAACCTACAGTCCCTATCTTGTACGTAACCCAGGGACTGCCTGTACATCTCCATGGAGTGTGTCCACATGCCCTTCACACTGTTCTGAGCTCTTGAAGAGCCTGTGGAATACATGACACTAACCCAGTGGTCACCAACCAGTCAGTCGGGATCTACTGGTAGATCTTGGAGCCTCTGAGAGGTGATCCTGACTGGTTTGGTCAAGTGCCAGCACTTCAGCTGCCCCTCCCTCCACTGCTGCGCATTTCCTGCCCTTTGCCTTGGAGCTGCCCCTCCTGCTGTCTGTGCAAGGCAGCGGTGGGAGAGGGGGGGTGCTGATGTCAAGGTGCCTCCTCCCACTCTGTATACTGTCTCCACAAAGCAGTGAGGGGCACAACAGGGCTTGGGAGGGAGTTTGCTGGCTGCTTTAGGGAGTGGTGCAGGGCCAGGGCAGGACTGAGCCTGCCTTAGCCCCACTGCACCACCACCCAGGAACCACCTGAGGTAAGTAGGGCCCAGCTGGAGCCCACGTCCTGAACTCTTGCCCCAGTCATGACCCCACTCCTGCACCCCAAGCCCCAGCCCAGAGCACCTCTGCCTCCAAACCTCCTCCCAGAGCCTGCACCTAGAACCCCTCCTACATCCCAACTGCTTGCCCCCAGAGCAGCTCAGAGCCCCCCTCACACTCCAGATCCCTTAACCCAAGACCAGAGCCTGTGCCCCAACCCTCTGCCCCAGCCTGATGAAAGTGAGTGAGGATGGGCAAGAGAGGGAGGATAGAGTGAGCAGGGGCGGGGCAGGAAGGAGGCGGGGCAAGTGTATTTTATTTGAGGTAGATCTTGGATTGCACTGAAATTCAAAAAGTGATCTCATGCTTAAAAAGGTTAGAGACCACTGCACTGGAGTCTTGAAAATTTCCTAGTATAGACATTTTACTGTGTAGGACAAGTAACAGCAATGGTGGTTGTGGGATCAATGTTGTAACTTGTACATTTAGAGGCAGGAGGGGCAAGCTGAAGTGAATTTGTCATTCGTGAGAAGTGTGTATTTTGTGCAGCAATGTTCTCAATGCTGAGGG